TTCTTCCCCCAGTTTTATAGGGTTTGTGCACAGGATGTCAAGTGGCATCCGTATACATGTATGCGCGGAGCTATTATACACCAGGAGTAAGCACATACAGAGATCAAAAGGGTCATTGATGGCCACCGCCAGCACTACACGTGCTGCATGGACAAAATTATGCGCCACTGGCTGGCTGTAAGGAATGCTCGGAGTTGCATAAATTGCAAAGGATTGTGGGTACCGCACATGCATGTCCATCATCGAAGACTTAAATTTCGATAATTGTAGTGATTGTTCTGATATTCCAATGATAATGAATGTCTGGTTACATGTATGTCTTAACATCCCCAAAACGTCTCTCTTAACAATAAACAGAATTATTAACTACCACAAATTCTCCAAAAATACCGCAACAAGGAAACTGGAAGAATATAGCTGGTTTAGAGGAAAATAACAAAATACACAAAAACATGGGAAGATTCGTTGTCCTTCCAGTTACTGGCCACGATTGGCCAGGCATGGAGGCATTTGGAGGAGGGAGAGACCATCTTATTTTCATTGCATGGTGTACCAGACTCCACGAGGGGTTTTTAAGCAGGACAGGCCGCCCTGCCAAAATATTAGGCCGCCTGTAAAGTTTTGCAGCCTTATAATTACTGACTTTTTCAACACCAGGATTGTTCCCCGTAATCCTCCTCACACTCTATCTCAGTCCAGAGACGCTTGCCAGACTTTGGTACTCATTGAAAGATTCAGACAACATGACGATTTTGCCCACCAGTATTGCAGTAATCTTGAGCACGGGTACTGGTACATGTACATGCATGTAGCTTAAATTCTTGACTGGTTCCGATGTCCCTGGTACATTCTGATCGATACCCATTCCATTCTATATATCTACGGTAGACTTGCCACTGAACCGTCACCTGCAGCTTCACTTTATCACAGTTTTAAAGTACATGTACTGTCCTCTACCTCTACCGAATTAGTTGTTTCATTTGTATCACTTTCTATGTTATGATGTAGGCAGAAGGACTAACACTACTGTTCTCAACGTATCGTGCCGCTGGTCTTGTAAAATCTTTTACTTGGAATGAGGGACCATAGGATTTTAGCCTCTGGTACAAACTAAACATGAAGCTTGTTTAAATTAATTCCTCCGTGTTCCCCATCCAGATCTCCCAGAAGCCAACGCCGTCCCTCAGCCCCAGCCATCCAACCCCCTGCAGGCTGGCAAGATGGCGGCTACCGTCACCCTGGAGGACGCCCTGTCCAACGTGGACCTGCTGGAGGAGCTGCCCTTACCAGACCAACAGCCTTGCATTGAGGCCACGGCAGTCTCCATCACCTACCAGGCCAACTTTGACACCAACTTTGAGGACCGGACGGCGTATGTTACTGGCATGTCCAAGTATATTGAGGAGGCCACGGTCCACTCGGAACTGGTGAATATATCTATCCGTTTTTCATTCAAAATAATCATTTCTTCAAACATTTCAATGATACAAATAGCTATTTCAATATCCCATATTATGCTCTATGTTTTCCTCACTGGGGTGGCGTTTGAGGATTTAAAAATATTTTCTCCAAGGCCCTGGTGTTTCGAGGTAGCTGAAGCAGAGCAGGGACTCTCAGGGCACATCAAGAAATCTTGTATTTCTTACATTTTGGCCCTTTGTCTCCCAGATCTTTCAAAATCCACAAGAAGATTTCTAAAGACTTAGTTGGATTTAGGAAGGAACAAACCTACATGTAGTTGATGAGCCTCTGTTACTTTACAAACATGCACTTTATGTAGAGCATGGTCATGCCCTTGAAAATTCAAGTACATGTACATACATGTATCACGGACCCTCGACAGTGGAGGGTCCATGCCAGAACATGGCACTCGTTTCCTGCTGAGTTTCCTGGAGGAATTCAACTTAAGTATTAAAGTACATGTGTACATATGGGGTAGCGCGGACATCCAGGAGTTTCACAAAATTGTGGGTAGCAACCACACAGCACCGATAAAAACAACTGCAACGAGCACTCAAGTACATGTACGTACTGATCAAAGAAAAGATTGTGTAACCCGATCCTCAAACTGGCTTTTAAGTGCGTATATGTACATTGCCATGGTCACCATCGTAGTACCTGTACCAGCCATTTTGTGAGAATCCCGGATGTCCGCGCCGCCCCATACACTAACTTTGCTTGGAACTTATACCAGTGATAAAGCGCTGTATTTAATATTGCACCAAGGTACGCCACACTGCACACTATGTAAATTTTGGGCAATTTAGGTCTCTAGGTTTACTTTTGGAAACTGTTCATGTACAGGTGGGCACTTTTAACCTCACATAAAATAAAGATTAATGGTATATTATGTGTTACGTGCATTGGTACAGTATTTTTATCAGATTTGGTTGCCTCCTCTAGGCTTTAAATAGAATCACGATTTTTGTATTTGTCCTTCGAGGTTTGATTTTAGATGATGCAGGATGAATCTTTCTCCTTTGTGTGCGTCCGTGCTTTTGTGACATTGCAACATCGTCATGCTTTGTATGTTTGTGTCTCTGTGCTAGCTGTGTGTACATGTACATGTATCACTAGTCGTTGCAACCAGTCTTTTCCCGAGCGTTGCTCGGTTTCATCCGACATTTTTTTGTATGGACCCTGCATTCCTGCAGAGCCTGCCAGCCACCATGAATTCCATGGGTCTGTCGGACGTTGTCGCGTATTTGTCTGTCCAAAGCAGGGAGCAAATTGTGAGTGTCCAGGATGTCCCCCTTGCACTCGTTCATCGTTGCCAGAAGGTCTTGTGCCTGACTTGGATCGCGCATTTGAAGCATGGGAATTGAGCATGACCCATTCAGTTGCCAGACTATACAGTATGTACGTGGGCACAAGCAAACTGTGTACGTGTCATTTTTTTGTTCATTGTCCCTTGCTTGTTGGTGGATATTGAATTTGTTTCCCTGGTGCTTTCAATCCGTCTGATGCAGTTTTTGCTCTCATTTTTTAGTTGCACAGTTAACCCGAATGCGACCTCTGCCTTTTGATTTTTGCTTTCAGGCATGAGATCATCGTCTCTTAGACATCAGTCTGAAATCAAAGGGGTTGAATTAAAAAAAAAAACAATACTCTTGCAGAGAGGGTCTGTTCTGTACCTAGACAAAAGTACTAGCCCTTGTCCAGTTTACAACTTGAATTTGGTAGTGGCAGTTTCTCTGCTCTTTTGAGATTCACTGTGATTTGAAGAGGTCCCAAATTCACCTACTTGTAAGGGAAATTTTCTCAGACGCTTACATCTCTAGTGCCGATCCCAACTGTCCACATTTACAGATTTACATGTACAAGGTGGGTGTGTCATTTATTTGCAAACAATAGACCATCGGGTGCCTGCAAAATGGATGAATTTTTTGAATTTCCTACCGTGCAGCAGCAATACACAGTAAATCAGTTGACAGTTTACTTGTTTAAAATATTCAGTTTAAAAAAAAAGTGGCCCGGAATTGCTTTGGAAAGAGAGGTCATTCACAACCAAGCCCAAGGCGATGTCACACTTAAGAAAAAAGTCATTACAGAAGTACATGTATGTATGTATTGGCTTCGGTGAACTGCAGATTAAAATTCATATACATGTACATGTAGCTTCCATTGCTGGCATTGCATAATGACAGGCACAATATTGAAAGTCAGCAGTTCTTTTCTGTGGGACAAACGTTGTTTAACAAGGCCAGACTAGCACAGGAATTATTCTGTTGGACAAGAAGGAAATTCTGGACATGGAGGACTATGTGCAGCCGCCACTTTGTTCATAGCTCGTACCGGGTTGTACTGTACATTGGCGAGTTGTTAGTTCAGGGATGGTGGCTCTGTGATTGTTTTCACTTGATCATTGACACAGCTTGGTTGTGTCGTTTGAATGAGTGGCTGGCTCTAGCAGGCATGCAGGATTCGTGCACCGGTATGTGGCATTGATTACCAATGAAATCCCCCTGAAATTGTACATACATGTACATGTATGTTCAGCTATGCACTTAAAGAGTTTCACATAACCATTTTCACGTTTTTTTTTTTTAATTTCTTGTTTCCATTATGATTTGTGCAGAAGGTTTCAAAATCCAATGTACTTGCAGGATGCTCTGAAACCAACCTAATTAGAACTTCATTGATACTGCACGTTTTGTTTCTGAGTGTGAAAGCAAATTACTGTACGTGTACATGATGTTTGTGTGCGTACATGCAAACACAACTTAATGACATTAACATCTAGGCAAAGTGTCACGAAGGAGTTCTACAAGAGCCAAAAATTTCATCTCAGGCCATGTCCGAAACGGGTTTCCAGAGCTACGGCTAGGTCTATTGTCTGCACGTCTCCATGTGTTTCCAATGGAGTAAAGACCTAGACCTACATGTAGCTCTAGACAACAGCTTCGGATGCAGCTTCAGATTTGTTTCCAGTGCTCTTTGCCTTCTAACCCACATTCACATCTGTGTGTAAACCAAATACAAACCTGCCTTATTATTTTATCAGAACACTGGTGAAATTACTGGCAGCAGTGTCAAATTCAGAAAGGATTCAGCAATCAGTTTTGTGAGAACTCAGCTTTTCAACTGATATTTGTTTTTAAATTGTTGTCCTGACTTTTAGCTTCTTTTTTTGTACACGAAAAGTTGCGTAGCTGCGCCACGTCTTTATAATATTAAATGTCTTGGAGAAGGACAAAAATGGCTTTTACGATAGCTACGTGTATTCCTTTCCAATAATAAAACAGTCATCAAACATTCGTTGAATCACCTCTGCTCGCCATTTTGAAAAAAGTTTTCATCTTTTCTTTGTCAGAACCAGACAAAAAATCTCGCAGTTTTCTGACAGCCAAACAAGTTTCTTATTACATGTACCTTCTACAACAAAGTTACCCATTTCCCGTGTAAGCCTTGCTAAGTTCAGCAAAGTTCTGCTTAACCAAAACATGATAAGCTGGTCAAATTTTTCATTTTTGTTTTGCTTGGCGCAACATAGGGCACCTAAAATGACTGCGCAAGTTACACCATAATTTGTTACGTCAGTCACAGACTTCCACAGTGCTTAAGTTTTATGAAATCAGTCTTAATTTGTCGCTCAATCATGTCAACTTACGCAATAAAAGGTGATGTAAACTTGTGGATCTACACCATTGCGTAAGGTTCTGTAAAATCGGCTGCTGAGCTTTAAACTTTTCGTCATTAAAGGAATCACCTGCTATTTAGCCTCACAACTTTCCATTTGGTGATGGTAGCAGTATTTCCATTGTCACTAAGGAATGGGCATGCTGAGTTGTACGGAGGTTGTATGTATTAAGTATGTACATGACTCTCCCTTTGTGAAAATGTTGACAGGTCAATATTAACGGGGTGCTAAATCTATCACATACATACATGTACATCATGTACATGGGTAATTCCAGAAATTAGGGGTTCAAAAGGGAGACTTTTTTGGCCCAGTTACATCTGGCCTTTGTTATTTGACATGGAAATATCACTGGGACTAATTTCAAACAATTAGTATTTGTTTGGCAGGTAATTTGCATTAATTTATTACTCTTAGAAATTAGAAAATGTGTTCTGAACTTACAAAATCATATGTCAGATGTGACAGGGACATGAACAAAATGGACCCCTAATTTCTGGAATTACCCACATGTACTATTACTTCCTTTGGATACCAATAAAATGAAAAAAAAATTCAAGGTTTAGACTGACTTCAAGTTAAATTATTCCTCATTTCTATTTTGACTGGGAATATTTGGCAAAAACCTGTCACAGAATCTTCCAACAATCCCACATTTGGTTTTGCTGTGTTTTTAATAATCATTTCACTCAGTTCAGTAACAATGACTTTGGAACATTTCTATTCCAGTATCGAGTGTAAAGGAAATGTAACCAGTCTTGCACGTAGTGATTGATTTTATAGATGAGCTGAGGAATTCAGGGATCTTCCTGGCAAACCACCCCGGGAGTTCCATGTACAGGGTTAAAGTAGAAAGGATCCAGTGAACTCTCATGCTGGACATTCATTTATGTGTACA